TTTAATGCCTCTCTTGCATCTGGCTATTTCCCCCCATTCTGCAACTGCATGTCTCGTACCAAAACCTGGGAAAGACTTGACTGACCCCAAGAACTATAGACCTATTAGCCTCCTTGAAATTTTGGGTAAGACCTTTGAACGACTTGTAAATATGCGACTCAGGACCCACCTAGAGACACACAACTTGCTTACTGAAAGACAATTCGGTTTCCGACAACAACGATCTACCCAAGACGTTTTGAATATAATCCTGAACTATGTACGTATCAATAAAGCCCAGAACTGTACCTCCGCCCTTGTCGCCAAAGATGTAGAGAAAGCTTTTGACACTGTTTGGCATGAAGGATTAAAATACAAACTTTGCACATCCTTTGAATTAACTATAAATATGATGAAATTATTATGTCACTTTTTAGATGGCCGAAAGATGCGTATACGGTTCAGAGATATATATTCTGACTATTTCACATTAAAAGCGGGTGTATCCCAAGGCTCTGTCCTGTCTCCCACCCTATATATACTCTACACGAATGATTTACCTGAACCTCTTTACCCAAACACACTTACCCTTTCTTACGCAGACATCACTCAACTCACAACACATGAAAACTTTCGTTTCCTTGCACGCAGAACACAGAGGTCGACAGGATTACCGCCTGGGAATTATTATGGCGAATCAAAACCATCCCAAATAAGTCAAAAATCACTTACTTCCATAGAATGCGTGATGTCCCCACTCCTGTCGAACTCAAAACAAGCACCTCCCGTACCCCCATCCCACGCTCCTTCTCGACAGTTGTCCTTGGTGTTACCCTCGACCACACACTGAACCTAAAATCTCACATTACTGCAAAGACCACACAGGCGGGAACTGCACTCTCAAGGTTATATAAGCTGCGAGGAGCCAGTCCCAAGAGAAAACTACATCTTTACAAAGCACTCATTCGTCCTCTACTCTTACTTTCCACTCGCTCTGACGTTAATCGCCAAGACAAACGCACTAAAATTTCAACGTATCCAGAATCGTGCATTACGTTGGGTGTTGGGGGGTGAGGTGGGACGAATTTGCTATCAGTGAATCTCTCCACCTCGCGACAAACACACCAGCTTTGAACGTGTACTGGAAGACAGTGACAACTTGACAGACTTGAAGCATATCATGACTATTGGACTACATACTTAGCAGATACTCTCAGACGTCCTCACAATGATGTAAATCTTTTTCAATCGTTGTATGATCCGGCGCCTCCACCACAATACAAATAAATTATCTGACTTGCTTAAAAATTCACATAACTTAAAGGTGCCATTGCCGTAGAGCTGTCTTTGTGCGTTTTAGGGCTGAAGTGCTTGCGGTGTGCGTTTGCGTCGCCTTTGCAGCAACGTGTCCCTGAACCATATCCAGTCGTTGCAAGTTGATATGCTTCCAGTAAGTTGCAGTCAGCACCCGCAGAGTCCCTGTTGTCTTTTACGTCGTCTTCGTTATTGTTTATCCAGGCTTAACAGTTGGGTCTAGTCCTGACTCTTCTCTCTTCGACTCAAAACATTCCTCTCACCGTCTATTCTTCGCACTGTCCCCACTTGCCCCTCGCCCCTCGTGGGTCCTTACCTGTGAGTCCTATCGTATCGTTTGCTCCAGATTCTCCTCCACCACGATGCTGTGAACACTAACTCCAAGGCTGAGGGACTAATTACCTCGTCTTTTGTATATAGTTCTACTGTCTTCCTATTATGTCCTAGAATCTGTATTGATAAAGCCACTGGATGGCGAAACGTCTACAATAAAGATATCCAGATGTTGCACATGTGTCTTGTCTTTCATATGTCTTACCTAACAACCTGTCGGTATTGTATACCATTTTGATGTTCATCTTGTCAGACACTGCAACACATGGCATCTTGGTACATGTAGAAAACACATTGGACAAGCTTTTCAAGTGAGAAGTGTTGGATCTGAGAGGGACATGACCTCTCAGTGGCTACATTCTCACTACTACAACTACTACTCTGCACCTCTCCTTCCGACAGTATTTAAGTCTCCGCACTGTCGCTTGATCTTCAGATAGTTCCTGACTATGGAACTGAACTTCTCCAGGCCGAGGGACTGACAACCTCAAATTCTACGACTTCAAGGGTGATGGACTGATTACATCGTCTTCACATCTCTACTGTTCCTGCCTACTTTCTGTATTCGACTGAAGAAGCCTACTGTGTAGGCGAAACGTTTCGGAATAAAGTTGTCTAACTGTTGCATGTGCGTCTTATCTAACATACCTGCAGTACCGAGGCGGGTGTTCTGGGGGATCAATGGCGCCGAGGCCCGGGCCATGACCAGGCCTCGCGGTGGATCAGGGCCTTATCAACCAGGCTGTTACTGCTGGCCGCACACAAACCTATGTACGAACCACAGGATACTAAATACTTTAGCATAATTGTCTTGAGATTCTAACCGTTTACTGTTGCTAGGGCAGTGAGAGTATACTTTGTATGCGCTTAACATACTGCAGTGCTTATTTGTGTTAAGTTCGAATTACTGAGTTGCCTGATATCTAGTAGGCAAATAGTCAATGAGGAATAAGTCGCTTTGAAAATAATTGACTCGGCCCCAGAAGATTCGTCAGTTTTGTGGTAAGTAAACTTATTTCCAATGTATTTGAGATGGTAGATAGTATCACAGGCGGTGCGCTTGGTTTGGAGGACTTTTATAGGTGAAATAACTTGATGCACTCACGTTTTTCCATATGGTCAGATTTGGGCTCCTTGTTCATAATCTACGAAAATGCCTGCAGCCAATACAATATGTACGTAAATTAAGTTCATCACTTTAGCCCAAAGTTGATTTATACTTTAACTTATAGCAAGGCTTTATTAAATATTATTATTACAAAGACCCAATGGAAATAATACGTAATTTTTTCGGGTTGTCCTAGGTAATTTACACGTTAAACTATGCGTAATTGTACTTGTGTACCTGTACCTAAATAATCCTACTAAATGTGGCACTTGTTCTCTCTGGACAAGGGTAAGGTTCTAATTTCTGGGGAGTATTTGGAAAAATGCTGGTTGCAAAAGTGATGGCAGCAGGGCCTAAAACTTTTCACAGTAAGGCTAATTAATAATTAAAGTTAATTTGTGCAAACTACACTATAAATCTAGAGTAACTGAAAACTAGATAGTCCTATGTGGTGCAATTGATATCCCTTAGACGTACCTTGTACGGTACCACATTATAATCTTGAATGTTATGGAAAGTGCAAGACGTAATGCAGTATTAGGACATACTGTTCTTTCGCCAGGAGTTCTATAGGGGTCTAGTATTGACGGGGAGGATGACTGAAGTATACAAATGGAAGAAAAGAATAAAGGAAATATATAACCATGCCAGGACTTGGAGCAATGGGTTAGTTGACAAAATTTAAAAAATATATATGAAGCACTGATTTGTTAATACTGGTTCTGAGTGGAACACTTCAGTAAGCAAATTTTAGGCACAAGTAGTTATGTAAATTACTAAGCATAACTCCCCCCCCCCCACCCCCCCCCCCAAAAAAAAAAAAAAAAAAATCCTTTGGGGTCCTTGAAAGGATGATGCTAACAGCATTTGGTCTTCCCAGGCCGGTCGCCCACCCAAGTACTAACCAAACCCAACATTGCTTAACTAATGATCGAATGAGGAAAGTTGCATTCAACATGGTATGGCAGTTGAGTAGTTGAACCAAGAACATTGGGTAGGTTTAAAAAAGTTGGAAAAATGCATAAATGGGTAGTTCGACCTACCTAGCATGGGCCTGTGGCCTGTCAGTGTTTCTCTTCTTGTAATGGTTGTCATTGCTGCAGGTGAGGGTGGGGTTAAGTCGTACCTGTTTGGGCAGAACACTTCTGGTAAGAATGCCTGATTATGATTATTAGTCCCAAATCTGCACACGGATATCACTCCCTGTGACATACTCTGCAGGCAGTGCAACATCTCCCCCCTTCCTCCAGTGAAAAACAGGGGGTGCCATGAAAACTAAGATAACACAAGTGTCAGGGGGGGGGGGCAAGGCTATGCATCTGCCTCCAAGCATACATAAGGGGGATTACCAATAGATCCCTTGCTATCTTTGAGAGCTGGACAGGCACCTAAAGTCAGTACCTGACCATCTGGGCTGTGGTTCGTGTTGGTTTGCGTGTGGCCACCAGTAACAGCCTGGTTGATCAGGCTCGGAGCCACCACGAGGCCTGGTCATGGACCGGACTGGGGGGGCGTTGACCCCTAGAACACTCCAGGTAGACTAAACTGTTCTGCTAGTTAGTTTTAATGTCATAAAGATCATGAAGTATCAGTGCTTAAATAATCGCATGAACATGTGTACCTGGTGATACCTAACGAGTTCTACAGTTCTCTTAAACATATCCTAAGCCCCTACATGAGATGGTTTAATTAGTTTCCCGTTTCTCTCCTTTTTAGCCCTTGATTGTGCTGGCATGATGTACTATCTACAACATTGGTCAAAGGCAGATATGACAAGTATGAAGAATAAGTTATGAATGGATAAATTTTAGATTTAAGAGGAATATAATATACTTGTTGGGAATATTTGTAAACACATGAACTGCCGTTGTTGGAACTAATACTGTACTGAATAGCTTAAATTAAGATTTTGTTCAGATTCTTAACCCCAGAGGGTAAGCCACCCGGGGTAACTTAAGACAGTGCGTCATCGGGGACTGTTTTATCTTGTTTCCATTCGGGGTCCTCAATCGTGTTCCCCCAGGATGTGACCCATACCAGTAAACTAACACCCAGACCAACCTTGCCGAGGATCGAACCACTGACTCAGTGTGTGTAATTTCTCAATAGGCTACTGGCCACCTCGGGAAAATGTGCTTGGAGTAGAGCCTGCTTAAATGGGTCAGTAGCCCTACTTCATTGCTCATAAGCTGTAATGCTTTGACTTTTATAATCATGACGGTATAATTATTGATGCAGTATTTTTGTGACAAGACTTGTATTACAGAATTGTCAGAAGAGTGGGCGACGATCAGAGAGCCCGTGGTGGAAGGGGTGACCTTCTACTGCAAGTACCTGGGTTCCACGCTGGTAGACGATCCCAAGGGAGAAGAGTCTACTTCGGAGGCAATTAAACGCATCATCCATGCAGCTAAGCAGGTGTCGCGCAAGCCTGAACGAGTGAGCCTTCATGTCTCTCTTCAAGGCATCCGTATGGCTCACACCACCACTAGTGAACTACTACTACACACCTCCATTTACAAGTGAGATACCTTGTCAGTTTTTTGTAAAACCTTTTGCCCACATGTCATTAATAGTGGAGGTCACAATTAGGTGACTGGAGTAATACAATTTTAGCCTACACATTGGAGTGGAAATTTTAGGCTGTAAATTCTGCGTAATAACTTTTTCTAAGTGTGTACAAGGCCTACCTGACAGCAGTGACATTTTTTTTATTATTATCATCACACTGGCCGATTCCCACCAAGGCAGGGTGGCCCGAAAAAGAAAAACTTTTACCATCATTCACTCCATCACTGTCTTGCCAGAAGGGTGCTTTACACTACAGTTTTTAAACTGCAACATTAACACCCCTCCTTCAGAGTGCAGGCACTGTACTTCCCATCTCCAGGACTCCAGTCCGGCCTGCCGGTTTCCATGAACCCCTTCATAAATGTTACTTAGCTCACACTCCAACAGCACGTAAAGTATTAAAAACCATTTGTCTCCATTCACTCCTATCAAACACGCTCACGCATGCCTGCTGGAAGTCCAAGCCCCTCGCACACAAAACCTCCTTTACCCCCTCCCTCCAACCTTTCCTAGGCCGACCCCTACCCCGCCTTCCTTCCACTACAGACTGATGCTCTTGAAGTCACTGTTTCGCTCCATTCTCTCTACATGTCCGAACCACCTCAACAACCCTTCCTCAGCATTCTGGACAACAGTTTTGGTAATCCCGCACCTCCTCCTAACTTCCAAACTACGAATTCTCTGCATTATATTCACGCCACACATTGCCCTCAGACATGACATCTCCACTGCCTCCAGCCTTCTCCTCGCTGCAACATTCATCACCCATGCTTCACACCCATATAAGAGCGTTGGTAAAACTATACTCTCATACATTCCCCTCTTTGCCTCCAAGGACAAAGTTCTTTGTCTCCACAGACTCCTAAGTGCACCACTCACCCTTTACCCCTCATCAATTCTATGATTCACCTCATCCTTCATAGACCCATCCGCTGACACGTCCACTCCCAAATATCTGAATGCATTCGCCGCCTCCATACTCTCTCCCTCCAATCTGATATCCAATCTTTCATCACCTAATTTTTTTGTTATCCTCATAACCTTACTTTCCTGTATTCACTTAATTTTCTTTTGCACACCCTACCAAATTCATCCACCAATCTCTGCAACTTCTCTTCAGAATCTCCCAAGAGCACAGTGTCATCAGCAAAGAGCAACTGTGACAACTCCCACTTTGTGTGATTCTTTATCTTTTAACTCCATGCCTCTTGTCAAGACCCTCGCATTTACTTCTCTTACAACCCCATCTATAAATATATTAAACAACCACGGTGACATCACACATCCTTGTCTAAGGCCTACTTTTACTGGGAAATAATTTCCCTCTTTCCTACATACTCTAACTTGAGCCTCGCTATCCTCATAAAAGCTCTTCACTGCTTTCAGTAACCTACCTCCTATGCCATACACCTGCAACATCTGCCACATTGCACCCCCTATCCACCCTGTCATATGCTTTTTCCAAATCCATCAAGGCCACAAAGACCTCTTTAGCCTTATCTAAATACTGTTCATTTATGTTTCACTGTAAACACCTGGTCCACACACCCCCTACCTTTCCTAAAGCCTCCTTGTTCATCTGTTATCCTATTCTGTCTTACTCTTAATTCTTTCAATAATAACTCTACCATACACTTTACCAGGTATACTCAACAGACTTGTCCCCCTATAATTTTTGCACTCTTTTGTCCCCTTTGCCTTTATACAAAGGAACTATGCATGCTCTCTGCCAATCCCTAGGTACCTTACCCTCTTCCATACATTTATTAAATAATTGCACCAACCACTCCAAAACTATATCCCCACCTGCTTTTAACATTTCTATCTTTATCCCATCAATCCCGGCTGCCTTACCCCCTTTCATTTTACCTACTGCCTCACGAACTTCCCCCACTCACAACTGGCTCTTCCTCACTCCTACAAGATGTTATTCCTCCTTGCCCTATACACGAAATCACAGCTTCCCTATCTTCAACATTTAACAATTCCTCAAAATATTCCCTCCATCTTCCCAATACTCTCCATTTAATAACTCCTCTCCTATTTTTAGCAGACAAATCCATTTGTTCTCTAGGCTTCCTTAACTTGTTAATCTCACTCCGAAACTTTTTCTTATTTCAACAAAATTTGTTAACATCTCGCCCACTCTCTCATTTGCTCTCTTTTTACATTGCTTCACCACTTTCTTAACCTCTCTTTTTCTCCATATACTCTTCCCTCCTTGCATCACTTCTACTTTGTAAAAACTTCTCATATGCTAACTTTTTCTCCCTTACTACTCTCTTCACATCATCATTCCACCAATCGCTCCTCTTCCCTCCCACACCCACTTTCCTGTAACCACAAACTTCTGCTGAACACTCTTAACGTTACATTTTTAAACCTACCCCATACCTCTTCGACCCCATTGCCTATGCTCTCATTAACCCATCTATCCTCCAATAGCTGTTTATATCTTACCCTAAGTGCCTCCTCTTTTAGTTTATAAACCTTCACCTCTCTTCCCTGATGCTTCTATTCTCCTTGTATCCCATCTACCTTTTACTCTGTGTAGCTACAACTAGAAAGTGATCTGATATATCTGTGGCCCCTCTATAAACATGTACATCCTGAAGTCTACTCAACAGTCTTTTATCTGATAAATTAGACACATGTGCAACTCTTGGGTATCTTTATTGAAGAAACGTTTTCCCACACAGTGGCTTCATCAGTCCATACAAAGGAGAATCTTGAACAGGAGGAGAATGAGGTAATCAGTCCCTCAACCTTGAGTCGGTGTGGTCAGTCCATCAATCTTGAATAGAATACGGCATACGTGCTGAGAAGGAGCTTATAAACCGTTGGCAGGAGAGGTGCAGCAGTCATAGGTCGTGTAACAACGGTTTATAAGCTCCTTCTCAGCACGTATGCCGTATTCTATTCAAGATTGATGGACTGACCACAACGACTCAAGGTTGAGGGACTGATTACCTCATTCTCCTCCTGTTCAAGATTCTCCTTTGTATGGACTGATGAAGCCACTGTGTGGCAAAACGTTTCTTCAATAAAGATACCCAAGAGTTGCACATGTCTAATTTATCAACACGTCGGTTCTCTGAACCATTCATCTACAAGTCTTTTATCTACCAATACATAATCCAACAAACTACTGTCATTTCGCCCTACATCATATCTTGTATACTTATTTATCCCCTTTTTCTTAAAATATGTATTACCTATAACTAAACCCCTTTCTATACAAAGTTCAATCAAAGGGCTCCCATTATCATTTACACCTGGTACCCCAGACTTACCTACCACACCCTCTCTAAAAGTTTCTCCTACTTTAGCATTCAGATCCTCTACCACAATTACTCTCACTTGGTTCAAAGGCTCCTATACATTCACTTAACATCTCCCAAAATCTCTCTACATTCCTCTCTTCTCCAGGTGCATACACACTTATTATGACCAACTTTTTGCATCCAACCTTGACTTTAATCCACATAATTCTTGAATTTACACATTCATATTCTCTTTTCTCCTTCCATAACTGATCCTTCAACATTACTGCTACCCCTTCCTTTGCTCTAACACTCTCAGATACTCAGATTTAATCCCATTTATTTCCCCCCACCGAAACTCCCCTACCCCCTTCAGCTTTGTTTCGCTTAGGGCCAGGACATCCAACTTTTCATTCATAACATCAGCAATCATCCGTTTCTTGTCATCCGCACTACATCCACGACATATTACTATATAGAAAGTTCCTTGTTATCCAGAGCATTTCAGGCAAATTGGGTTAGTTTTGTCCCAGGATGCAACCCACACCAGTCGACTAACACTGGTACCCATTTTACTGATGAGTAAACAGGCAACAGGTGTAAGGAAATGCCCAATGTTTACACTCTTGCCAGGAATCAAACCCAGGTCCTCGGTATGTGAAGTGAGAGCATTTCCTACCAGGCCATGAGCCTGATAGGTTTGTGGGGGTGGGGGCCCAGGGCCCCAGACACTGACTGGATCATGACTTGTGAATGAGTTTCCCTGACAATTAAGTATTGTGCCTCTTGTCTATGTGCCACTCGATGCCATGTCACCTTATGGTGGTAGCATTGTTGGAGCAGTTTGTGTAGGGTTTTACTAGTTGCTCTCTGCCAACAGATTAGCCCAGTGGCCAATGATAAGAAACGAGCAAAGATTGTGGAACTTGAATAACTTTAGCAGTGTGGGAACTTGACACACACTCTGGCAGCCACTGTTGACAGATAATGCAAGACTCTTACCTGGAGTTTACCTGGAGAGAGTTCCGGGGGTCAATGCCCCCGTGGCCCGGTCTGTGGCCAGGCCTCCTGGTTGATCAGAGCCTGATCAACCAGGCTGTTACTGCTGGCTGCACGCAAACCAACGTACGAGCCACAGCCTGGCTGGTCAGGAACCGACCTTAGGTGCTTGTCCAGTGCCAGCTTGAAGACTGCCAGGGGCCTGTTGGTAATCCCCTTTATGTATGCTGGGAGGCAGTTGAACAGTCTCGGGCCCCTGACACTTATTGTATGGTCTCTTAACGTGCTAGTGACACCCCTGCTTTTCATTGGGGGGATGTTGCATCGTCTGCCAAGTCTTTTGCTTTCGTAGCGAGTGATTTTCGTGTGCAAGTTCGGTACTAGTCCCTCTAGGATTTTCCAGGTGTATATAATCCTGTATCTCCCGCCTGCGTTCCAGGGAATACAGGTTCAGGAACCTCAAGCGCTCCCAGTAATTGAGGTGTTTTATCTCCGTTATGCGCGCCGTGAAGGTTCTCTGTACATTTTCTAGGTCAGCAATTTCACCTGCCTTGAAAGGTGCTGTTGTGTGCAGCAATATTCCAGCCTAGATAAAACAAGTGACCTGAAGAGTGTCATCATGGGCTTGGGTACACTTTTGCCACCAGGCCCCATGGCCCAGTGGCAAAAGCCCTTGCTTCACATGGTGAGGGTCCAGGTTTGATTCCTGGCAAATGGGTGGAAACATTAGATTTTTTTTTTTTTTTTTTTTAACCAGTTGTTTATGTTCACCCATCAGTAAAATGGGTACCTGGGTGTTAGTCAACTGGTGTGGGTTGCATCCTGGGACAAAACTGACCTAATTTGCCTGAAATGCTCAGCATTTGAGGTGGTTCGGACATGTAGAGAGAATGGAGCGAAACAGTGACTTCAAGAGTATCAGTCTGTAGTGGAAGGAAGGTGGGGTAGGGGTCGGCCTAGGAAAGGTTGGAGGGAGGGGGTAAAGGAGGTTTTGTGTGCGAGGGGCTTGGACTTCCAGCAGGCATGCGTGAGCGCGTTTGATAGGAGTGAATGGAGACAAATGGTTTTTAATACTTGACATGCTGTTGGAGTGTGAGCAAAATAACATTTATGAAGGGGTTCAGGGAAACCGGCAGGCCGGACTTGAGTCCTGGAGATGGGAAGTACAGTGCCTGCACTCTGAAGGAGGGGTGTAAATGTTGCAGTTTAAAACTGTAGTGTAAAGCACCCTTCTGGCAAGACAGTGATGGAGTAAATGATGGTGAAAGTTTTTCTTTTTCGGGCCACCCTGCCTTGGTGGGAATCGGCCAGTGTGATAATAAAATATAAACAGCTTTCTATATACATAGTATGTCATTGATGTCGGCTAGGCCTGTATACCTTGTACATGCACAAATTAGAACAGACTTGTGGAGTCTTGCCTCGTGAGGATCTCGCCTTCAAAGATCACGGCAGTCTCTACCACATCTGTTAGAAAAATAATAGGATGGATAATGAGAACCTTCAAAACTAGCAATGCCAAGCCCATGATTCTCTTCAAATTGCTTGTTCTCTTTGGGCTGGAATATTGCTGTACACTAATGGAAACTTTCAAAGCAGGTGAAACTGCCGACCTGGAGAATGTACAGAGAACCTTTATGGTGCCCAAGTAAAATAAAATGCCTAAATTACTGGGAACAGTTGAAGTTCCTTGACTTGTATTCCCTGGAATGTAGGAGAGAGATATAGGATAATATACACTTGGAAAATCCTAAAGGGATTAGTACCAAATTTGCAAATGAAAATCACTCCCTACGAAAGCAAAAGGCCCAGCAGGCAGTGTAACATCCCCCAATGAAAAGCAGGGGTGTCACGAGTACCTTAAGAGACGAGACAGTGTCAGGGGGCCTAAGACTGTTAAATTGTCTGCCAGCATATGCTAGGGGATTACCCCTGGCTGTCTTCAGGAGGGAGATGGACTGACGCCTGAAGTTGGTACCTAACCAGCTGGGCTGTGATATCTACGTCAGTCTTCGTGCAGCCAGTAGTAAAAGTCTGGTTGATCAGGTCCTGTTCCACTGAAAGGCCTGGTCATGGACTGGGCCATAGGGGTGTCGACCCTCTGAATACTCCCCGGGTATACCCCATGTGATTTAGTATATTAGGTCCCAAGGTACAAATTCCATTGGTGTATGGATAATTATAGTAGTACAGTGTAAGTAGTGTTTGAGGTACACAGTAATGTATAAAGAGGATGCCCACTGTTTTGGAGACCATGATTATTGGCTGTGAAATCAGTTTTAATTTGTTGAACTTTCTGATCTCTGATGTTAAGGACTGTTACTTAATAAGTTAGGCAAGGAAAGAGATCTACGTTACCAAAATGACATTCCTGTTGTTTTTCAAGGATAATAATAGTTATTTAGGCAGTTGATTTTCCTTTTACATATATGCTGGTGTAACTAAAGTAGCATCAGCAGTTTTATTTCATGCCTTTTGAATGGGATAAGAGTAAAATTGTAATTTAGTGAATGTGACTAAAGTTTCTTGCCCTTGCAATTGAGTAGACTTAAATGAAAGGTGCATAGTCTGTGCTAAATGTTACTTCACCCCTTGTATGAATGCAGTTTTCATCAACCCTAACATTGCTGTCTACTGATCTGATTTCTCTGGCTATGGCTAATTTAGCATTTTCATTTGTTTCAGGATCTCCTACTGCTCGGCAGATGCACACTACGACCATGTCTTTGCTTTTATTGCCACCAATGATAATGATACATGCGAGTGTCATGCTTTTCTGTGCCCCAAAAGAAAGATGGTAAGTTGCACTTTCCATTTTGCTTACCAATGTATTCTTGGGGATTGTACGAGTTCCCTATTGTACATGTGCCACTTCAGTTTTAGCTTTAATAGGAGATGTTAACTGCATTTGTCAAGTCCCAAAATGAAGTGCATGCAGAGTATTATGTGCCATAGCACATACTATATTGTGAAAAAATGTTGTGGAACAAAATTGTGTTTTTTTGGTTAATTTGCCAGCACCTTTGCTGAAGAAAAGCAGTAGATACAAGTTGGATTTTTGCTGAAACCTTCATTAGTTGAAAATTAGGAAGCAGTGTTGAATTTGGGTTTGACTACCCAAAGTTACCGACTTTTGCTGCTAGTCGGTGCATCATAAGCAGAACCCAGAATTCTGTATCGATTTTCCTGCATGTTTATTGAAACTAAGGTGTAATAAGATGAATCTGTTGTTGGAATGAGTTCTTGGGCCTCTTGCCATTACCATTTTACTTGTCCAAACTTGCAAAATCATTGGGAAAATTGTTGTAGCTTTTTATTAGTTTTTTGTATGGCTTAGAAAATTTTTCTACATAAATTTGATTTTTGGCATGTACTTTATATTTACCTTACATGAACTTACTTTACCACTCTTTCCTCAGGCTCAAGCTGTAACTGTCTCAATTGCACAAGCCTTTAATTTGGCATATGAATATTGGAAAATGGCTGTGGAGAATAAAGAAAGTGGTGTGATATATGCACATGAGGAATTACCTGCTGAAGTAAAAGTATGTTATTTTTTAAAGTGGTTCTAAATCCAGATAAAGTATGAAGTAATTTGCTGTAAAGAAAAGTTTAAAAAAGTAGTCTTCTTTTTTAACCCTTAAACTGTCCAAACATAGGTCTACGTTCGGAGCACTATGCACATCAACGTAGATCTACGTTTGGACAGTTTAAGGGTTAATACAATCTCGCCCAAGCTTTGAACAGTGCAAAATACATTGTGTATTGCATAATTCTTGCTATAATTAAAATATTTAAAGTTTAGTTTATAAAACTACATGGTGTCCCCCAAACATTGTCTAGGGTTGCATGTAGATGTTGATGTTAAGATACTCTCACAAATCTAGAAACTAAGCAAACTGTATTTAATAATCCTCATTTGGGATGAGTTTTAAGTAATTTGTTTCAAACTGAATAATTATGGTATTATATTGTGGTTTAGTGCTTCTTTTTTATTATAATATGGTATTTATAACTTGAATGATTGCTCCCTAAACTTAAAATCAAAGCCAATTTTTGTGAATATCGGGAATTAGTACAGCCTCTCTTCACTTAGCGATGTACTCATTTACCAACCATTCGGACTTGTGACCAGCTCTCCAACCGGTATGCAAACCTAAATGTATACGAGCTGATTTCCTCTAGTCTGTTTATAATAGCATACAGTAAACTACTGTATAATCATTTAAAAATATACCAGAAATGTTACTGTAAATGGTGCAAAGGTGGTTGACATAAACTTGCTACTAGTAGTATAGTATGCTCCTCAATAACCAATTAGCTTACCAACCTACTGTTAGGAACAGAACCCTCTAGTTAAGTGAGGAGAGGCTGTAAAATGTTGGTGATTTATAGTTATGGGAATGTGGAATACTAGTTTGAAATGGTAGAAATAAGGAATATACAATGACATTTTCCTAGAAAATGAATAGGATAGTTACAGAACTTTTTTTTTTTTTTTTCCCCCAACAGTTGAGTTCTGTGTTGGTTCATGGTAGTGGTCTGAATAACAATTCTCAGCCGTCCAGCCAGACTTCCTCTCCGATTCCCATTCGTTCCGATTTTGGATCCTCTGATATGAGCACTTCAGGTTAATGTTTTAAAAGCATTTTATTTGCCCATGATTTACACACTAAATCTTTTGGTTTAAACATGCTTAAATCTATGAAATAAAATTTTCATAGTTTCACCAAAATTTTATGGGTTCCTAGTAAAATTTTCTCCAGCCTGATGACACTATACCAGGGCTACTCAACTACTATGAACGAAGGTCCACTTGGACAAGTACAGTGGACCCCCGCATAACGATCGCCTCCGAATGCGACCAATTATGTAAGTGTATTTATGTAAGTGCATTTGTACGTGTATGTTTGGGGGTCTGAAATGGACTAATCTACTTCACAATATTCCTTATGGGAACAAATTCGGTCGGTACTGGCACCTGAACATACTTCTGGAGTGAAAAAATATCGTTAACCGGGGGTCCACTGTACCAATATATATATGCAAAGGTCCTGGTACTACATTTTTTACACACAATCAGGGTCCAGGGTCACCAGACTTCCCATCCCATATGCGGCCAGATTCTTTTTCCAAAATGCCAAAAGTCAACTCCACTACAGTGGAACCCCCCCCCCCCTCCCCAGAGTTTCGTGTGGAGTTGCGTCCACGTGGTGGGGAGCGGCCGGGCATACACAAAGGCTCCCACACAGAATTCAGGAGTCAGTTTGGCTTTGACTGTGGACGAGTGACCATCGCCCCACTCGTTCATATGATAAGTTTCTTAATAATCCCTTCGTTTTTGTGCTTGCAACTGCTAAATAAGCCACCATGGGCCCAAAAAACACACCAGCCTGGGTACTTCCCCACATACACAATTGATTTGAGTGGGACTTGAGAATGAGTGAATAGAATTATCGAAGCTTATTGCTTGGTAGCATTGAAAATTGGGTTGGACAAATATTGTTAGTGGGATGGTTTGTGAAGGACCTGCCTAGTATGGGCCAACAGGTCTGTTGCAGTGTTCCTCCTTTGTTCCATACACCAAAAAGTCCTCAATAATGGAAGTGATGTTTTATACTAGAGTTCTAATTTTTTTCTCTATGTAAATCTATATTTAATCTCTAAAAATAATTTTTAATACTTTTGGATGTATGGAATGGATTAATTGGATTTACATTATTTCTTATGGGGAAAATGGTGGTTTCGTGAATTTCAAATATCGGCAGACTCTCTGGAACGGATTAATCACGAAACTTGGGTCCACTGTATTTAGCTGTGATAGAATACTGTTCCATTCAGTGTATGCATTCCATTCAGATAGAATGTATTAATCTTGCTCTTGTATACCACCTGATCCTGAACATGATAACAGCTGCTGTTTAACTAAGCTTTCTCCTGAAAATAACTAAAAATAAGGCCCAATACCGTGACTGGAATGATGCACAAATAACCCGCACATAGAAGAGCAGAGCTTACGACGACATTTCGGTCTGACTTGGACCATTTACAAAGTCATACTGAAGTCTGTGGTCCAACTAGAACACTCGGAAGGTCCAGATTTGGACCGCGGGTCACCAGTTGAGTAGCCCTGCACTATACCGTGAGCACATATTTAATTTTTTTTCTCCCCTAACTAGTTTTTCTTGTATCTATATTCTTAATAGGTATTGGGCTAGTCTTGAATTAAACAATGGTTAAGGTATTACGTGATTAGATATAATTGTTAGGAGGTTTAATAAAGTCGAATTAAAAATTTTACTTGGTAAAATACTGTAATTGCACCAATTCAGATTAATGCATAAGCTGCCAATTACTTAACCATCTGGGAAAGTGCCATAGATATGCATTTATTCCAAAATTCTAGGGCCTCTCAAAATGATCCTGATTGGCATGGTTAGGATTAGAAAGAAAACATGTCTGTGCCATGTGTGCAGTGTAAAAAATGTACAGTGTATTGAGCCATGAAATAATTTTTAGATTGCTTTAAATTTGTTTGCATTCTAGGGACTGAAACATTAATGAAAGGGAAATACTATATAAAAACAAATGTAGGTGTAAAAAGATAGAAAAATTAAACTTCAAAAAAAAAAAAAAAAAATTTTTTTACTGCCATTTCCACTTTCAACATCACTACCATTGTCATAAAATGGTCAGTCACCTTCATATCTCCACAAGTAATCAGATTTTTCATTGTCTTATTACACTTCTAAAATCAAGGATGTTTGGCAAGAGTTTTCTAATTTGTCCATGAAGGACAAATTAGAAAGCCCTTGCCAGTTTAATTGTTAATACTGTAGGTAATTTTAGATAGCATTAATTTTAAGCTGTCTAGTAGTAATTTCCTCTCCTCTATCTGGCTATCAGTATTCATTCTTTCAGAATGTCTGAAGAATTTTTTTCTTTTCAGGTTACCAGTCGAGCACACAAGCATTAATAGACCTGGAGGATTCTTCAGACACTGTGGCTACTGACCCCTCCAAAGATAGCAAGCTTCAGAACAATGCATGTATTCTCAATAAACCTTGGGTGGGTGTAGTTCTAGTGATGGTCTTGTCAGTATTTTGAGTTGTAGTATGCAGTAATATGGTTGGGGTGTAAAAACTGTCATTAGCAAAAGTGAATAGAAAGTTACTGCCTAGCTTGTGTTTAGTATTGATGTTAAATTTTGAAATACTCAGTAGACTTCAATGGTAGACATTGAAGTTATTACATTGGACTACTTACTGTGAAGGTACAGTGCACTATTTTAGGAAATTACTGGATCATTTAATAAAAAAAAGCTTGCTTACAGTAGCTTCAAAATTGTACTGTATTACTAAACATTTGATTAAATGTGAATGTGTAATTTGATAGTTTTTGTGAGTACTGTTTAGAAACTAACCCCTAGTTTGTGACTTAACAGGATTCCTTTGATGACACCAATGAGATTAATGATGGGTTTTCCAGGTAAGTTAACTTTGTTTAATAGTGTAGTTTATTAATTAACCCTTAAACTGTCTGAACGTAGATCTCCGTTCACGTGTGTAGCACTCCGAATGCAGATTTAAGTTTCTTATAAATTTGAAAGCATGTAAAATAAAATGTAGATCTACACTTGGAGCGCTACACACATGAACGTAGATCTACGTTTGGACAGGTTAAGGATTAAATTCTTAAATGTTTTAAGCACTCTGGCACCATTTGCCTGCATGGAATACCAAAGTGGATACTGTCAAATTGTTTACTTCAGTGCATACACCTTGCATTTTAAAATTGTGGTTAACATTAGAGAAAATGTGTAATTAAACTTGTTAAAAGTTAAGAAAATGCCTAGTTTCTTTGTTCTACAGATTGGCTTTAAGACGCGAAGACCAGACTCTTCTGCTTGGGACATTCCTGCAGACATCAGTAGATCTCAATCTTGCAGCATTAAAGGATCACCCAGCAGCTTCTCAGATCGAGAATGGCTTCTCGCAGTCAGCTAGTTCTCCTAGCTCTACAGCCAGCTCGCCAACTGATCCATGGTTGCTGGGTCAGTCTCCACCAGATGTTTGGGAAGATTTTTCCAGGTCTCCAAATATGGCCTTCCTACATTCTTGCCAGTCTCCTCCCTCACAGACAGCATTTTCACAATCTCTAAATTTAAAATATGATCCATTTGTTTCATGTGAAACAACTAAAGATCAGTTTGTTTTTTGCAAAACAGTGAAGGATCCATTGCATACAAGAGACCCATTTGTTCCTTGCAAGACTGTTAATAATAGTGATTTATCAAAGATGCCAGAATTTAATTGTAGAATTCCTGATCCATTTATGCAATTAAACTGTGTCAATGATCCATTTGCTTTGAACATTTCTAAAGATGCATTAACTTGTGCAGGTAATACCTTCTCTCCCAGTCTGCCTGAAAAATCTCTGAATACTTGTCCCATTAGTGGCTGTGGTTCTAGTCAGCCAGTGTGGGGTAACGACATATTTGATACTCTAAAAGGAAAAAATGTCAAATGTACGTAAGAGTAATTTGTACAGTATAGAAATGTAAATTATTTTAAATTCATCAGGTACTTTGTGCACACTTGAAAATTTAAACTTTTTAATAGCATCTTAAATGGGGAAAAGCATTTTGCATGCAGCTTCTCTTCCCTGTCCACTTTCACAGTTTCCCTTGCAACTTCCACTTGTAAAAATATGCTGGAATCAAGTACTCATTTGCATAGGTTAAGTAAAGATCTAAAAAATTAGAATTTTTTTACTTCTGCAAAAGATTTAAGTGAAGATAAAATTTAGAAATTTGATTTTGGC